CCACCAATCTCTCATCCTCTCTTCTATGAGGTCAGATGGGCACCACGGAACACAATGGAGGGATCTCGTCATAGACGCTCCTTTGTCTAAGCAAATAGCCTAAGGCTGTGTTTTCCACGGGTGCCAAGGCAAAGCAGGTTCTGACCTGAGAGAGAAGGTGGTAAGCCCAGCAGAACAGGGGCCTAATGAGACAGGCAGAAGTCAAAGCAGCTTTGGAAAAAGGCTCAGGTCTCCACCTGGGTCTGTCCCGCCTCCTCCTGCAAAGCTGTTTATTGGACTCCCTATTCCCATAGTGATGAAACTGGTAGCCAGTCCTCAGCTCCTTGCCGATGGCTGCCACCTCCCTTTGTGACAAACAGGAAGTTGGGACCTTTGTCAGCTCAGCAGCAACCTCTACATTAAATATTTATCTTGGAGTCCAGGTCAGAGCCCTAGAGAATAAAGGAAGCTTGCTCCTAGGGAGAGAGGGTATGGCCAGGATTCCTGAAGTTGGAAGATCTTCAGCTTCACCATCTTTGGAGAACAAGGAAGAAAATGAAAGTGATGTGGTCCTTCCTAGTCCCAAGGACCCTGACAGGTAGGAAAAACTTGTGACTAGGAAGTGGGCACATAGTTTGTCCCTGAGGGAGGGAAGAGGATAGTACCTAGGGGTGATAAGTATCCAAATTTCAGGGAAGGGAAAAGGCATGGCTGCCTGCCGTCAAACTCTTCCTTGGATCTGCTTCCCTATAATTTACACTCAATGGTCCCACTTCTGCTCCTGGACCCACAGCACAACCACTCTGCTTCCACATGGCAGCCCTCTAGGCACTGGAAGATAGCCAGAATGCCCTGTCTCTCTTAAGCCTCCCCCCAGCCTAAACATCTCTTTTGGCTGTTAGGTATGTGGCATTGTTTCACGCCCATTCACTGCAACCAAGGAGAGCTCTTTCAACTGAGTAGAGAAAATATTAAAGCTAAAACGTGTAGAGTGGTGAAGATCAAAAGTTGTTCCCTCCCTTTCCCCACTCTCAACTTTTGAGAAAGCACTCCAAGGTGTATGGTGGCCTCAGAGCACAAACCTCACACCCAGTAGGTGTGCAATCGATGTGTACATATTTTCAGAATTTATAATTGTTCCGTCCCAAAAAGGATCTGAAGTTGCTCAGTTACTGTTGGCTGGTTAGTTTGAGGCCTGGGGTCCCAGAGCCAAGCCAAGAGCTAAAAGTACTCCAAAGACTGTTTCCATTATCAATAAGCATTCATTAAGCATCCTCACTTTCTATAACAGACCCTGTGCAAACGGGGGGGCGGGGGAGGGGGGTGGAACAGCCAGAAAAGTCAGGGAGCAAATGGGCAGGGCTCTTGGGGCCTGTGCCAGAGCAGCTGGAACAGCGGAAAAGCAGCAAGATCAAAATAAATACGGCGTATGAGAACACAAACACCCTCCTAACCCCATCCCCGCCAGAGGGGCCCCACCCTCATCCTATTTAGGGGCGTGGTGCGCCCAGTGGGCCGCTCCCTCAGGCTGATTTTCTCCACGGGCAGCGCTCGGTGCTTGCACGTGTGTGAGCTGTGTGAGCATCGGCGTGTTTGCAAGCGAGCTAGTATGTGTGTGTTTGCACACGTCCAGATGCGCGTTTACGCAAGCACAACATCTCTTTCCTTGAGGCCTTAACTTGTTCCGCTAGGCAGCTCTGTCTGGGGGGCCCTCGGGGTTCTCCCGCTTATCTCAGTCCCAGCCTGTCTGCATCTCTGGCCCGTCTCCGGCGTCTCTGAGGTTGCCGACGCCGGCTCAGTTGCTGGCTCGACTTGGGCTCTGGGGCCCACGGCTAGTTCTCGTTAATCATTCCTGCCCTGTCCTGGCTCTGCCGTGCAGCCGCTCCCTTCCCACACGCTGGAAATGTCGCTGGAAACTCTGAGTGGCCTTCGCTGGCTCCCCCGCCCCCTGTCCGACGCCAGCCTTGTGGTGGGGGGCCGGGGAAAGGCAGCTGGGAAACCAGAGCGGGGTCCCCGGGGACCCTCGGGCGGCTCCTCCCCGCACCGCCTCCCGGCCGGCCCGGCCTCCTCGGCCAGGGGCCACCAGCGTCCCCGCGGGGCGCCCGGCCCAGCCAGAGCCCCGACGGAGGGCACGCGCACGCCCTTGGCTGGCCGTCCCCGAGCACCCGCCCCGCGAGGCGGGAGAGGGAGTAGCCGGCCCCCCACCCCGCCCCTCCGCAAACAGTCCAGACTGGAAACAAACTCCGCTGGCCGCCCTCCCTCTGCCAACGCTCACGTCCCCTGCCTCCCAGCGCGCGCGCGCTCGCTCACTGCCTCTGCCTCCCTCTTCTTTCTCGTGCGCCCAGCCTCTCGGAGCTCGGTCCTGACCCGGTCACGAGGGGAGGGAGCACATCCTGGACTTCTCCTGGGCCCCTCCCTAAGGGCCCGCAGCGGCCGCGCCAGGCGGGAGCCGCGCAGAGATGCCCCAGCCGTCCCAGGCGGCCTCAGTCCCCGCCACCTGCTCGCCGGGGAAGGTAGGTGCCGGCAGGGAGAGGGGCGGGAGAGGAGGCGGAGGCCGCAGTCGGGGAGGGACCAGGGAGCGAACCCTGCCCCGCGCCAAACTCAAAGGGAAGGCAGTGGAGCCCCTCCCCCTGGGGTCCTCGGAGGCTGGGCGTCCCAAACTCAGGGAAACTGAGGTGGAAAGAGGTTAGAAGTTCCTCCCTCCCCTCAATCCAGAAAGGGAAAAGTTGAGGACTTGTAGCTGAAAAAAATACCTGGGAAAGTGCATAGGGCCAAGACCCCAAGGTCAAACCAATATTTAGAGATGGGAAGGAGTTTGCCAACTAAAGTAGAACTACCTCATCTTTTCCAGCTCTTTGGAGCTGGCTGCCTGGACCGAAAGGGGCTGCACGAATTCTAGGAGGACCCCAGGAATTTCCTGGCACCCTCTGTCCTCTGCCAGCTGCAGGTCCAATTCCCCTGGGTACCTCATCTTCCCTGTGAAAAATCCTCCCCAATGTTTCCTGGCAGGGCTGCGAGGAGAAAAACTCAGATTACCCTTCCCACTTCCACTTCTGTCTATCCCTGGAGGTTGGGCCAAATGGAGCAGTGGAGGGGAGGTAAGGGAGGTGGGGGAGGTTGGGGCATCAAGGGTCAACAACCCCTGAAAACTCAGCCGGTTGGGGGGCACCTCCTGCCCTGCCATCCACCACCCTACAAGAGGGCAGTTGTCACTGAGCACAGAACAGTGGGATGGGGAGGCTAGGGAAGTAAGGCCCTGGTCAGCTGATGGGTCAAGACTGCTGTTGCTGACCAGGCAACTTGGCCTCAAGCAGTCAGCTGGACAGGGAGGGGTTCCTGCTTGGATCTAGCCTGTCCTGGGCCTCCTGATCTCCCACTCTCCCCTGCCTCAATTTCCCCCACAAGGAAGACAGGAGCAGGGAACTGGGATGTGTCTGCATGTTTTGCTTTTGGTAGGAGTCTTAATTAGATCCAGCTGGTAGGCTGCCCCTCCTCCAGTCTCAGCCCTCCACTCCGCACAGCCAGGGATGGCCACAGAAAAGCTAGATCCCAACAGGCCGCTGCTCAAATGTTGGAAGGAATCCCCTCAAACTCAGACCAGAGACCAGGAACTGTCCCGAGCCTTGTCTGTACCCTTGCCAACCCCCCAAGCAGTCACAGCCCCTATGCACCCTCATCCCTCTAGTCCCCGCAACTCATGTGCTGCTCATATGACCACCCACTGCACACACACACCCACATACGATTCAGCTGACACCCTTCTGCACCCACAACCCATGCTGCTCACATGATCCCCACTGGTGGCACCCCCACAAGTCAGAGCCACAGCACCCTGTCTCCATTCCATTCCCACTGGCTGCTCTCCCCGTGAGCCCCCACCGACCCCACAGGCACACACAGTCTAACACTGAGCAAAAAGCCCAGTAGTCCAGCCCCAGAAGGCAGTGAGTTTGGCTCAGCTTCTGGCCCAATCCAACAGCAAAGGTGAGATGGGACCACCTCCACACCAGTTTCTGGGTAGAAGAGCCCCATTAGACACCCTGACCCGAGAACCTCCTCCCTGTCCTCTTCCACCCACCCCTCTGAGTTCCCTTTCTCCACCTCCATCTCCTGAATGCCTGGAGCCCCTTCCCTCTGACCTAACCTCAGTAGAACCTGGCTGGCCAGGGAAGATCTTCCATCCAACAATCAGCCTGAAGACACAGGAGGAAATGTTGGGGGGGGTGCCCATGTGCAAGAGAGCACCCAGGGCATACCCTCCTTGAGCTGGTCCGCCTTTGCTCTCACCCACTGCTTCTCTCCACCCCACCCCTCACTGCACTCTGAACCTCTGAGTCCTCAGTCTGAGGGAAGGAAGAGACGGGAGGGAGTTGATAACTCCCTTTGAGCTCAGAAGGAGTGGTTCCTGATGCCTGGAAATGCCCCTCACTCTCCCCCTCCTCGGAACCTTGACCTTGTTCGGGTTTAGGGCATCACTGCTGCTTCCCAGTGGGCAGTGGGCGGTGGCCTTGCTGTTGGCCAGGGCTTATCCCTGGCCTGAGTCGATCCTTGTGCCTGCTGGCAAGCAGATGCTAAGTCAGGGACTGGGGGAGGCAGAGGGAACTGCCCTCCTCTGCCAGCTGCCCCAGTTCCCCTCTGCCTTCCTCTGGGGGAGCAGGCTGTGCTGTGCATTGAGAGCCCCAGAGGGGCTGCCCATCTGGGCCGAGGCTGGAGCTTTGTCCAGCAGTCCTGCTCCTGGCCAGCCTCCCCTCCTCCTCGCCCAGGCCTCCCCCGCCCCCACTCCCACCAGGAGCTCCTGCCCCAGGCCTAACAAGCAGTCCATTGTACCTATGGGAGCTGGCACGGGCAGCCTGCAGGCGGGTGCCCACAGTGGCCTGTTTCCTGGGTCCTGTGAGCTCCCACTCAGCTGGCCCCAACCCCCTCCCACGGTCGTCCCCTCCCCACCACCCCTAGGTTGAGCCAAGAGGGTGTAAGCAGTCCGGCCCCGACAGGGGTTTCCCTTCTGTCTTCCTTCCCTGCAGAGGACACACAGAGCAGCTGGCACACGCAGAGTCCTCCCACCTTGACCCAAGCATGCAGTCCCCCGCCTGCAGCCTCCCTGCTGGGCTCAGCCTAGATGACTTCATCCCTGGCCACCTCCGAGCCCATGTCGGGTCATCCTCCCATGGGACACGGGTGAGTGAGACCACTGAGGGAGAGGGTGCCCTGGTCCCACCGTTGAGGGAAACAGCAGGACAGGCAGGGGAACAGAAAGATTAAAGGAATGGGAGAGGGGAAAGAGGAGTCGGAGGATAGCTCCAGAAAGCCTCACTGGTTTCCTGCCAAAGGGTCAGGCTGGGCCCTGGAGGCCTCACTGCAGGCTGTGGGGCTGTACCCTGATAGCCATCCCTCCGACCCTTCTGCGGGACCTTCTGGGCCCTGAGCAGCTGCTCCTGGCCCCTCCCCACAGGTGCCCGTGATCCGGAATGGTGGCTCCAACACCCTTAATTTCCAGTTCCACGACCCCGCACCCCGGACCGTGTGCAACGGGTGTTTCCCACAGAGGAGAGATGCTTCCCGGCACCCAGGTGGGTCGGGTGGGAAAAGCTGCTCCAGGAGCCCCATGTTGGGGTGTGGGTCAGAGCTGCCCTGCCATCTGGCACCACCCTGTGTGGAGCAGGAGGGGCAGCAGAGGTCTGGATGGGGGTAGGGAGGGGTGTCTTAAGGCCACGAGGAGATCCCACACCTAGTCGGCCCCCCAGGGACTACACACTGGTGCCCCAGGGCTCCCAGCTTAGCTTTCCCCTGCCTGTGTGAGCATGCGTGGCCCTGTGAGAGTGAAATCAGCTGTGGGAGAGAGTGGCTGACACATCCCTTCCCTTCTGCTTCCAGCCCCTCCCCCCAGTATCAGGGAAGGGAAGTGTGAAGGGTTCATAGTCACAGGGCTTGGGGCCTCCAGGCCAGGCACTAGCTTGGAGTAGGGATGGAAGAGTGGATGAATGTGAGCATACGCTGGTTCTAGAAGGCGCAGGGCTGACCCCCCACTACAGGCATGCTCCTGAGCTATCCACATATCCACATGTCAGTAGGAGGCTGAGTTACCCCAGGACCTCCTCCATGCAGGCTAGCCCTGAGTGCCCCCCTCCTGAGAAGGTGGCATCCTTTATTAAGCACTCCTTTGAGGCAGCCCTGAATGAAGGGGTTTATTCATTTAACAAATAATTATTGAACACTTACAATGTACTGGACACTGTAAAAACACTTTACAAGCCTAACCTCACTGAATCCCTCGATATCCTGGCAAGGTAAGGTACAATTATTGTCATTTTCCCAGTGAGGAAGCTGATTCTCAGAGATGTTCAGCTAGTAGAGGCTTGAGCTGAGATTCAAACCCTTGTCCGTGTGGCCCCAAAGCCCTTATGCTGCTGCACTGGCTTCTTGGGGGCGAAGGTTCTGAGGAGGTTGAGGACATAGCAGCTGCGTTTGATGAATGAGTTTCTGTCCCTCACTAAGAGCCTCTTGGCTGTGTGTCAGGCACCATGCTGGGCACAGTTGCACAATTAGATGTCACTGAATCTTTGCAATGATTACCCTCGTTTTTCGAAAGTGGAACTGAGGCACTGAGGGGTTGACTGATGTGCCCAAGTCTGAATGCAGGCGTGTCCCCTCCAGGACCCGCACCGTTTCTGCCTCCCCAGCTGGGAAGTCCGCAGCATTCTCTACAAGCAATGACTCCCAGTCCTCATTCTGAAAACTCTTACGACAGCTCCAGAACAGCAGGCACAGATTTCTCAAAACAAAATCCGTTTTAATTCCCTTTAACTAAAAAGTAAACAGAAGCCTGGGGTACTTCTGGGGATGGGGAGGTTTGCAGTCTACGTCATAAACTCAAACAAACAAGATGTTGAAACTTTGGAGCTCACAGGATTCAATGTTCTGAGGAGCTAAGGGACGCACGAGTTCAGGTGGGGGCCCTGCCTTTTGCTAATGATCTCCTGTACATACCCCACAGACACAGCCTGGTATCAGACCTGGCCGGGCCCTGGGAGCCGGCCCTCAGGTAGCCTGAAGACCCCTGCCCCCCAGCATACCCAGAACTGGTCAGCCACGTGTACCAAGGACAGCAAGCGTCGGGACAAGCGCTGGGTCAAGTACGAGGGAATCGGGCCTGTGGATGAGAGCGGCATGCCCATTGCCCCCCGATCCGTGAGTCCAGGGCTGGGAGCTACGGACAGATGGGGCCCAGGGACTCACACTGAGCTCACTTCTGTGAATGATAGTGGGGGTGGGCCATAAAAGCTGTATCCAGACCATTCCAGCCTAAGGCAGGGGCTCGACCACAGTTGTTTCCCTCTGTAGAAACATTAGAAATATAAAAGAAGCAAAGAGAAAAAATGTAAACCCAATGTCTCATAATTTAGGAATCATCATTGTATACACTTTGATGTACATCCTTCCATGTGTCTTATCCATATATAACATGTCACACACAGTCATTGTCTGGGCACCCTTGTGTGTCTGAGTTGCACAAGTGGTTTGTGGGGAGGGGGGTCTTCAATTCCCACCAGGTTCTCAAAGGCAGAGAACCACTGCTGTAAGGGCTGAGCCTAGCAGGGCCCACCTTGGAGTTTTATAACCCGAGGGCCTGGCCAGTGCTCATGAAATGGGTGCTGAGTGAATGACTAGCTGAAGGAGCATGTGAGTCCTGAGTGGGAAGGCCCTGCACTGTGGCAGGCGTGGAGGGCTCAGGGGTTCAGGCTTGGTGGGCCGTGCCCTTCTTCCACTCCCACTGAGTATCTTCAGCCAACCAGGTGCCTCTGGGCTCCACCTCTTTATCTGGAAAATGGAGTTGGTAACATACCCTTCCTTCCTCCCAGGGTAGTTTTGAGGCTCAGATGAGGCAGGGAATGTGAAATACCATTTCTCCTATATTATTACTTTTTTTTTTAAGTTGCATAGAAACATATGCTGTTTGTAGAAACGTTGTTGTTGTTGTTAGCTACCATCAGGTTGGCCCCTGACTCATGGTGAACCCGTGCACAACAGGATCAGACCATTGTGATCTATAGGGTTTTAATTGGCTGATTTTTGGAAGTAGATTGCCAGGCCTTTCATTCTAGTCCATGTTAGTCTGGGAACTCCGCTGAAATCTGTTCAGCATCATAGCAATACACAAGCCTCCACTGACCTACAGGTGGTGGCTGTGCATAAGGTGCACTGGGCAGGACTGGAACCCAGGTTTCCCACGTGGAGGGTGAAAATCCTACCACTTAACCACCACTGCCCTCTGTAGAAACATTAGAAATATAAAAGAAGCAAAGAGAAAAAATGTAAACCCAATGTCTCATAATTTAGGAATCATCACTGTATACACTTTGATGTACATCCTTCCATGTGTCTTATCCATATATAACATGTCACACACAGTCATTGTTATTAAGGCTATCATAACTGAGAAGTTCACCGGCCCACCCACTGGGCCTTCACGGGTGGCCAGAGGAAGGGCTCATTAAGGGAAAACTTCTGTGGCTTGATAATGGAAGAAAGGGTAAGCAGTGAGGCCTGACTTTGCCTTTTCTCATTCCAGAGTGTTGACAGCCCCAAGGACTGGTACCGGAAAATGTTCCAGCAGATTCACCGGAAAATGCCAGGTGGGACACCCTCCCAGGGCCTTCTCCCTGCCAGACTGGGTTTGGGGAGGGAGGGGCAGAAAGGGGAACTCACCTGCTTAGGGAGCTCCTTCGCCGCCCACCCCAGGCTCTGTGGTGAGCAGTCCCTAAAACTGGCCAAAGAAAGGTACTCGGGACCCAGCAGTGGCCTCCAAAGCATCCTCCAGGACAATGACCACACACTGTCCCCTGGTATCCTCCGAGGGTACTGGAAAGATAGTTCTTTCCTGAAATTTCTCTCTGATTTTCCTGCCAGGCTGAAATTCCACCATTAGTGGGTCATTCCTCTTCATTAAGTATTGCTTTCTTCCCTGACTTAAACTGCAGCCAGCGCTGGCAGGTGCACACGAACTTCCCACAAGTTCACTCATTCAGTTGATCCCTTGAATGTTTATGGAGCACTATACTATGTGCCAAGCACTGCTTTAGGTGCTGAAGATATTTGTTGTTCTTAGCTGCCTTCCAGCCGGCCCCCGACTCATGGTGCCCCATGCAGGACGGAATGAAACGCTGCCTGGCCCTGCGTCATTCCCATGATTGGTTGCGGATCTGATGGTTGTGATCCACAGGGTTTCATTGGCTGATTTTCATATTGCCAGGTTTTTCTTCCTAGTCAGTCTTAGTTTGGAAGCTCTGCTGAAACCTGTTCAGCATCACAGATACCCACAAGCTCCACTAACAGATGGGTGGTGGCTGCGTATGAGGTACATTGCCTGGGAATTGAATCCAGGTCTTTCTCATGGAAGGCTGAAGATTTAACAAAAAAAAAGTCCCTGCCGTAGTAAGGAAACCCTGGTGGCATAGTGGTTAAGAGCTATGGCAGTTTGAATCCACCAGGCGCTCCTTGGAAACTCTATGGGGCAGTTCTGCTCTGTCCTGTAGGGTTGCTATTAGTCGGAATCAACTCGATGGCAACAGGTTTGGTTTGGGTATTTCTCCTGAGTAAAGCTGATATTCTAGATAGAGGGAGACACATACTAAACAGTCAGATACTAAATAGTCTTGTACCACATAAAGTCTGTTTGGGCAATGTCCAACCACATATAATGTTCATGGTTCCATAAGGTTATATGGCAGTCCCAGGGTTAGAAACGTCTGACTTATGTACAACCCCTAGTTATGAACCAACCCCTGTAAAACCTATTATATTGAAAATTCGAGGTACATACAATGGTTCATAATAACCAACGGGAGCTACTTTTCGACATGCATCAAAACAGTATTATCTTTTAAATTTTTTATTGTGCATTAGGTGAAAGTTTACAGAGCAAATTAGTTTTTCATTTGATACTTCGTACATAAAATGTTCCATGTCAGCACTCTCCCATTTCCACCCTGTTCCCTGTTCCCTTTCGTCCCAATTTTCTGTCCCTTCCAGCCTTCTTATCTTTGTTTTTGGGCAAATGTTGCCCTTTTGATCTCTTACAATTGATTGTTCTAAGGAGCATGTTCCTCTTGGGTGTTATTGTTTATTTTATGGGTCTATCTGTGGTTTGGCTGAAAGGTGGTCTCCAGGAATGGCTTCAGTTCCAGTTCAGAAGGGTGTCTTAGGGCCATACTCTGGGGGGTTCTTCCAGTCTGTCAGAACAGTATGTCTGGTCTTTTTTGTGAATTTGATTTTTTGTCCTACGATGTTTTTTCCACTCTGTCTGGGACCCTCTGTTGCGATCCCACTCAGTAGTGGTAGCTGGGCACCATCTAGTTCTTTTGGTCTCGGGATTGTGTAGGCTGTGTTTCATGTGGTCCATTAGTCCTTTGGACTAATTGCTCCTTTGAGTGTTTGGTTTTCTTCACTCTCCTTTGCTCTGGATGGTAAGAGACCAATATATGTATCTTAATGGCTACTCGCAAACTTTTAAGACCTCAGACACTACTCATCAAAGTAGGATGCAGAACTTTATGAACTATGTTGTGCCAGTTGAGGTAGATGACCCCTTGAGTCTATGGTCCTTCATCTTTGAGCCTAGGAACTTCATCCTATGAAGTGTTTGGTTATGTCTAAGAAGTTTCCATGACTCTGCCCCTTGTGTGCTCTATTGTCTATATTAACATAAAACCAGCACCTATGGTTATATATGTAGAAAAATATTATTATTATTATTATTATTACTGTGTTATTATGTTAAAGGTGTTTAAGTGTATCTGGAAGTGTTTCTTTAATGATTTTTTTATGCACAGAAAGGTACACTATATACTAAGACAAACTTTTGACTAACTGACGTTAGATACAAACCATACCTAACTGTTCCAACTTATGTACAAATTCGACTTAAAGACAGACTTAGGACAGAACTCGTTCATAATCTGGGGACTGCCTGTATATAATGTGGTGTTCGCACAATGTCCAAATCACGTAACGTCCTATTTCACAGAACATATCGTGGACGTTAAGCAACATATGACTGTATTTAATATGGCAGATGGTGGTAAAACACCAGTGGAGAGCCCAGTGAGGTTGCTACTTAACACAGGATGGTCAGGAAAGGCCCCTCTGAGCAGAGCCCTGAGAGAGTGAAGGAGTTAGCCTGGCAGAGAGCTAGGGAAGAGCATTCCTGGCAGAGGAAACCCCAAAGACCCAGAGGCAGAAGCATGGCTGGCATGATCTAGAACAACAGGAAGAGGTTGGACTGGAGTGAGGGGGGGCATGTGGTAGGAGATGAAATCAGAGGGGTAATAGGGTCAGATCATGGAGGCCTTGTGGGCCATTATAGGAACTTTGGCTTTCACTGTTCAAGAGATGAGAAACCAATGGGAGGTGTTGAGCAGAAGAGTGACAGGATCTGACTAATCATGGCTGAAAAGGATCACTCTGGCTGTGATGTGGAGAAAAGATGGTAGGGGCAGGGGTGGAAGCAGGGGACCAGTTAGGAGGCTTTTGCTTTAATCCAGGCTAGAGATGATGGTGTCTTGGACCAGGATGGTAGCAGTGGACCTGAGGGGACTTGGTGGGATTCAGGATACATTTTGAAGATTGTTGCTGTTGTTGGGTGCTGTTAAGTCGATTCCAACTCATATTAACACTATAAGACCGAGTAGAACTTCCCCCATAGGGTTCCCAACGCTGTATATCTTTACGAGAGCAGATCACCAGGTCTTTTCTCCTGCTGAGCCACTGGTGGGTTTGAACCAAGCACTTAACCATTACACCACCAGGCTCCTTATTTTGAAGATATTCATTGGAATTTGCTGATGGATTGGGTGTGGCATGAAAGAGAGGAGTCTAGATTATTTTAAACCTGGGGCGGGGCCAAGATGGCAGAGTAGTCAGATGCTTCCAGTAGACCCTCTTACAACAAAGACATGAAAAAACAAGTCAATCAATTATATATGACAATCTAGGAGCCCTGAACATCTAAGGCAAAGTTGAGGAAAC